ATGGTGGTGATAGGAACCAGGGGTCGCCATGTCTACAACACAAATATAGCCATTTTATTTACGACCACACGAACCTACACGTGTCTTCTGAGTCTGTATGTGTAATATTGATAATGGTAAAATAGCTGAAAATCAGGGTAAATTTGTTTTCTTTGGGGACTATTTTGACTCACAACACCCTGCATATATCACTCCGTCATATATTTAAAAAATGTTTAAAACTGCTTGCATGCATCAGGCAGAGCATTCCTGAGTATTTTACGGAATATCTTTCAGTGAGGGAACTCTTACAGGCTATGGACGTCTGATTCCTATCACCACAACCGTAAACAATTCCGACTCACGTCAAACTTTGAACAACTTTGTTCACATCTTAACCATTTAATTGGTCTCAAACTGTAAAGAAATTGGTGGAATTTCTACTTTAACGCTATAAAACAAAACAGAAACGGTTAAGGGTCGCCTTGTTAAACCTCATGCCTTGTTTACAATTACAGGTGCTGTTTATCCTTTCTAGAGGTTCTCACTCTCACCATCCACCGCCCCCCCCCCTTCTTGATTTGACGAGCTCACAAAATATCATATTTCATACACGCCCGAAGATATCCCCAGCACCGAAAATGTTTAATGTATAAGCCAACATTATTCTAGACAGAGAGCACAGATTATAAATATGCATGTATTCAATTAAGGGTATTACACAGGATTTCATTTGCATAAGGATTTGGGAGCTTAACATGCCTCTTCATATTTGCGCAATAAAACTTTAATATAAACCCCTGCCCTTTAATGCCTTAGGTACTTCCATTAATAGGCCATCTTCTAGCCTGGACCGCAGCTCCTGCAGCACCAGATCAGTTCCCCCCTCACTTCTCACTTCTAACAGCGCGCCACCACTCGCTTCCAGGAATGAGACGAGTTGCATGACGGTCTCTCTCTCTCTCATTCATTCATTCATTCATTCATTCATTTATTTATTTATTTATTTATTTATTTATGGGTATTGCCCACGTCCATCTTTTAGTGCATGCTTACATGCGTGTGATTTATTATGTAAAGACTGTTTTATTTTTCTGTTTTTTTTTTAAGGTTCTCAACCGGTGGGTCAGGTATGTGTGCCTGCACCCAGTTTTATTGCTAAAATAACTACTTCATTTAAACTCCTACTGATTTTACCAGAACACTTCTATTAAATAAATATCTCCTCATAATCAACGTACTCTTGTGGCTGTGAAGAGCAGTAATATTGTTAAATTGGCTGCATGTAATGAAACAATTCCAGTGTGGAAAAGAGGCAAATTTACCAGTCAGACCTGCATTGCTGATCACAAGTGAGCGCTGGATCTGGCGTTTCTAGCAGAGGCTTTTCCAATTTGATGACTTGCATTTAGTCTGCGAGGCTTAATTATACCATCATTACGGTAAAGAGCTTATAACTTGCAATAGACACCTTTCATATGAGGAATTATTTATGAGACTGCATTTTTTACCCACAAGCAAAAGTCATTCATACATTATGAGATCATGTAATAAGAAGCAGAATTAAGACATCATGGGACATCAGGTAAAAGGCATTATGGGACACGGTGTTAGTTAATTATGAAGTCACTTTTTGAATTAATTTCCGCGACTTTTCTTTTGTAATTGAATTAGCATGTTTACGGTATTTCCTCGCGCTCTTTTAGAAAGAACACACTGGCAAGAGTGTAAGAGATTCTTAACGTGTTCTCTAATACCTGAGGAGACTAAGCCTCACAGGAGCCTTGGACCTCCAATTTGATATTCTTGTCCAAGAAACGATGCTTTAAGATTGTCTTCTGTGTGTTTATCGAGCTGAGTCTGAATGGACATGTAGGATAATATCCATACACTCTCTTCATTCTCCACTGGCATTTTTTGCTCTTTCTGCGGGCGGGTCATGCAGGAGCAGCCTGGAGTCTACAGGGACTCTAGTACACTCCTCACCGCAATCTAGGAATGAATGACTTCCACGACTCGGGCAGAGCAGAGATGTGATTGGTTCAGGTCACATTTAGACACTTTTTTTGTAATTTGCATAATTCATGTGTAGAAGTCAAATGGGACAAAAAGCAGCCATTGCATGTATTTATTTATTAATTTAGGGGAAAAAATAAAGTTACACGACATGTAGCATATTCATTTTAACAGCTAAATATCACTTTTGGTGTATCTTTTTGAATTTCCAATCCCTTGCATCAACCGCCTGAGGCAAATTTATAAACTTGTACAGCTCGTGCCAAAGCATCCATTGAATTAAAAACTAAAAAAGGACAAACATTCAGATAATTAGTTTTACTCAGATGTTTTATGTTTGTTGTGTTTTATGTTTGTTGCTTATATCTTCAGGCTACAGTTGTAAAGGCATTATCAGACCCGTAGCGCTTTTACTCAGTCCTACACGCATATACACTAAGACTCAGAAAGTGTCCGTTATGATCGCCGTTAAATTAGACAGGGGTTTTTGTGCAGCACTTGGTGTGAGTGTTTATCTGTCCTTGGCGTCTGAGGACCTGAAATTAATGCTTTCTCACCAATTAAGCTCAGAACGCCAATTATCAGTGTTCAAATGTATCTGTAGGCTGGAATGGGGCATTTAAAGAAACGGCTCTGTAGCGAAAGTGTATCGGAAAACAGAGGTTGGCTGCATAAGAGGAAACAATTAGCCACTGGTTTGAGCCCATTACAACATTCTAATCGCCATTAGGGTGAAGTGAGTAATGTGTCCACTCTGATTCCTCCCTCTGACCAGGTTATACTGAGAGATGAGAGATGTTACGGCCAATTCTGAGCTGTTAAAGGTCATCACCTCTTTTTTAAGAGCAGGCTGGACTGTTGCAGTGAAAGACGCGCGCTATTCGGAGCCACCAGTTCACATGATCATGAGTGCGATCATTAATAATGTATGATCCGAGATATTCGATAGCAACATTATTCCTCTGCGGTCAACACACTCGCCACGTGAGATACTGAGCGAGATTTTTTAGCACTTTGATGTGCAACCGCAGAAAAAAGAAAAAAAGAAACGAGGGAAACTTGAATTTCTTGCACTAAAAAAATGAGCGTGTAAAAAGTTAGATGACAAATTCGAGAAATGTGGTCTATGAAGAATAAAAAATTAAAAATTTGTATTTAAATGAGGCGTATTAAAAAAATTAAATGAAGAATAATCTAAATACTTAAAAGTACTCAATCTGAGAAAAGTATGTTAAATATACATATTTTTAAATGTTGTCCCATGTCTCAGTGTGTTTGTCAGCACCGCTCTCGTTCAGAGAGGGGAGATGTGTGAGGTTAGATTATTAAATAAGCTCCATTGAGTGCGGCTCTGGCGTTAATTGGCCTGTGAGGAGGTTTGTGTCAGGCTGCTTTGAGCAGGTTCGGCGCTGTCAGGACGGCAGAGTGGAGGGACTTTAGTCCTCTGACACTAAACGCCTTCTGGATGCTTTTGTTGAAGCTCAGTGATGGGGGTCTGCTGCTGTGCTGTGCAGTCAGGCAGCTTTGCTGGTGCGAAACAACACACGGATCTCACGAGGTTAAGGGTCCGAATCCACAAAAAATAAAGATTAAATATTTTTTCTCATTTTTTTTTCGATGAGAAATTTAATTTGCACGCGAGACATCTGAGAGAGTAGTCAAATAAATATTAGATGTTAAAAATATGCAAATAAAAAATTAAACAATAGAAAAATTGGCTACATTTCAATATGATTCTAGCACAAAAAATAATAAACATAAAAAAATTCCACAGTACCATCCACAAAGACTCTTATAACCCTGCATTGATTAATTACATCAATTAAAAGATTAATAATCGCCCTTAACACCGCGTTTCCCCATTAATTAGTGTAGTTTCTCCGTTCAGCAAAACACAAGCAACGTGCTAGATAAAGCAACAAACGCGCCCCTTTAAAACAGAATTTAAAAGTATTGTGCGTGAGTTACCATCGCGTTAGAGTCCGGCCGCTATAAAATCCCAGCAACGCTTCCACACGTCGCTATATGAGGAAGCGCGCGGCCAATGAGCTCGCGCGCTGCGCCGTGACGTCAGAGGCCGCGTAGAAAAGGCGCGGAGGGTCGCGCGCCGTTTTGGAGACGGAGAGCAGGAGAACTGGGGGGAAAAAGGGGCACTGACGGGGGGATTAGAGCCTACAAAAGCCGAAGTGCGCTCAACTCCTCCTCCCCAATTACTCACACTGCGCTCCGAGCGCGCGGAGGGGACGAGCGAGCCCTGCAGAACCGGCGCAGAGCGAGAGAGAGAGAGACAGAGAGAGAGAGAGGGAGAGAGAGAGGGAAAAAAAAACGGCTGGAAATTTGGGACGTTGTTTTACTGCTTCGGTTATAGATACGAGAGCAGAGCTCGTTGCTGGACGTTTTTATTTTTGTTTTTTCTGAGCTCACACGGAGGGATGAAGATGCGCCTCGCTGTAGTCCAAATAAGAAAATGAAACAATAAAGAATAAACCAACACCGGTTCGAGGATTATATGCCTTTTTTCATTCTTCAGAGATGAAAAGCTGGATTTCTGCTCGAGCCCCTTCATCCTAGCATCGATTTCTGAAGAAAAGCAACAACAGCACCGAGCAGCGAAAACAAAACTGCTGTGCTTTGCTGCTCTCAGCGCGCGCTGACAGATGCTCGTCCAACATGTGGTGACTGAAGAAAAACGGACTCCCGGGTTCGCAGCGCCTCAGTGAAGCCCCCCGAAGCTCTGAAGCCCAGGAACGCGCGAATGTTGGCGTGCGCGCGCGCCATGTGCCATGTACGTGCTGCGAGAGCCTGGAGCGCCTGAAGACGTCCGTCCGCCTGCGGGGAGAGAGCGGAGCAGGAGCGGGGAGCGCGCGCCGGAGGCTGGCTTGCTGTTACTGCTGCTGCCATTGGAGCTGCTGCACTGAGCGGGAGCCGTGGGTCGTATGAACTGCGCCGGGCCGGGACTGCGCCTCACGGAAATCTCGGCCCGCAGCTCAGAAAGGAGCACGTGCTGCTCGCTCTCCGCGATGCTTTTCCACGGCGTGCCCGGCGCCGACATGCGCGGGGTCGTGGAGGAGATGGAGCGCAGGGGCAAGAGCGACTCGGCGCCCATCAGCTCCGCCATTGACATGGGGGAAACAGAGACGGTAGGCCATGCCCATGACCATAACCATGTCCATGCCAATGCCCATGACAATGCCAGTGGCCGTACCAATTCCCATACCAGCGGCTCTTCCAATGCCAGTGCCAGTCACTGTGCCCGCTTCCATTTCAGCCTGCTGTTCTAACAGCTCCAGGCCAAACTTTGGCTTGGGCAGAGTAGGCCTTAGTGTGAAACATTAGCTAAGTAACTTTTGAAAGGTGGAAAATAACGCCGCAAACCTAGTGCTGTTAGTTAGAAATGAGGCGTAATAATTTAGGCCCAATTTGAGGCTCGATTATAAACGGTTTTGTTTCCATTATTTGGAAGGTTCGTTCGATCAAAAGGATTCCAGCACTGAACGCTCAGTCCGCCACTGAGGTGGAATCGAATTATGGGAGAGTGTAATTAAACATGCTGGTTAGTTTGTGAGCTCGAGGCTATCAGGAGCCGTGAAGTTTTTTTTTTTGTAAACATCTTCCCAGTTCAGACGGTGTGAGCTGAATTTAGCTGCAGGTGATCCAAACATATAAGGCCATCTAAATAGGGCCTTCCAAATTTCTACAGCTAATGAGGAAAATACAGCTGAAGGATTTATTGCAAATAACGAACCGAAGTTTGAGGTTTTGGTGTGTATGAGGCATTTTTTTCTGACATGAGAAGGAAAAGAAAAAAAACTCCATATCTGAGTGAATAAGATATAACGGATTTTATTCAACGCTTTTTTACTGATCGTTTTATTCACGTGTCAGACTGCTGGGAAATATAGTGATGGCGATGTATTTGAACATTAGACTGAAATACTTCATAGGAAGAAGCGTTTCATGTGTTTCATGCGTGTGTATGTTTTTGTCTGAGTGTGTGTGTGTGTGTGTGTGTATCAGTGTGTGTGTGGGGGGGGTGTTTTGAACAAGTTTTAGTGCATAATGATCACACACTCTTTCAGCTCAGAGATCATAGATGATGGCTCGAGTTTTGGGCTTTTGATTTTGAAAATGTAACCTAGTTTCTTCTTTTTCTTCTTTTTGTCGGCTTATTCTTCCTCTTTTGCTTCTATTGTACTGTTATTATTATTATTATTATTATTATTATTACTATTATTATGTAGCGTGATTTATTTGCTTAGTTGTAGTAAATATACAAAAATGTTATCTTTTGTCAAGGATTGTGTGTGTGTGTGTGTGTGTGTGTGTGTGTTTTGAACAAGGTTTAAGTACACAGTGATCACATGGTCTTGCCATTATAGTCTTTATAAGCTCTTTAATTTTAAAATGTTGTTTACTTCTTTATCGTTTATATTATTATTATTATTATTATTATCACGAAAAGCCCTGGGTCTAACCTATTATAAACTCTACATCTAACCTTCTGAAATATCAGACAGAGAGAGAGATTTAGAAGTCAGGCCTTTTTCAAGCTATTGCGTGCATATCTACACATTTAAAAAGATAAGCGATAAATACTGGTGATGTCTCTGACAGTGCCTGTGAGTGCAGTAGATATTAATTAAACCGTAATCTGTCTCGTGCTTCGTTCTATTTGCTGTAAAGTAACTCCTGTGTTAGTTAAACTCTTGTCCTCGCGCGCTCTGCTTTGCTTTATTTACCTGCTGAAGTGAAGCCCCTCTCACGCCCCTCCCATCCGCTAGATAAGCCCTGATCATACCGCATCTCTCTGTCTCTCTCTGTCTCTCTCTCTCTCTCACTCTCTCTGTCCATCATCATCCTCACACGAGTTCTGGTAAAGAGTAGCCTGGAGTGCGTACTGACCGCGCGCGTGTGTTCATGTCTCCGCAGAGCGCGCCGTCCATGAGCGGCGAGCGCGTAGCGTTGTGTGCGGGCTGCGGCGGCCGGATCTCTGACCGTTACTACCTGCTGGCCGTGGACAAGCAGTGGCACATGCGCTGCCTCAAGTGCTGCGAGTGCAAACTCAACCTGGAGTCTGAGCTCACCTGCTTCAGCAAGGACGGCAGCATCTACTGCAAAGAGGACTATTACAGGTAGAGTTAGCAGCTCTGACACTCACTATAACGTTCAAACTCTCAACCAGCTCTGAAGTGAACTACTGAAAATCCCAAATATCTTTAAAAGGTGAATGTTTATATAATTATGTGAGGCTTTGGTCACTTTCTTGAGCTTCTAGGCCAGTTCCTGAAGGTGGTTAAGTGCAGATAATAACGCAGAAACACGTCGTCCCTTCTTGGCTCTCTGCAGCTCAACTTTCCACGCAGCACCACTGGTTTTAGAGTAAAGAAAAAGGCCTATCACTGGCCCAATGGAAGCAACAAGCAGTGAGCTGATCTTCAACGTGTGCAGCTGGGCGAGTGTATTTTGGGGCTTCAGCGCCATTACAGAACTCATATGAATTAGTGAGACGCCTGTTGTAGTAATACGTCATTAAGCCATTATGGCCATTTTCTGCCACATAGCTATTTAACACGACTCTTAGCATTAATGCAACCGTCATTTTATTCAGAGACATGAATGAAGGGAAATGTCATTTATGAAGAACTGCAGCTTGTTGTAGTTACATGTGTCTTGTTTATTTCATGCGTATATTAGATTGGTCCTTTATAAAAACAAAATGTGACAAATATACCAACCTGATCGAAAAGCATGCTATTTTTACATGAATTATGACCAATGAAACCAATGTGGGCACGCTGTTTTGCAGAGGCCAGCTGTGGTCAGAATAAATTGTAATTTGTTTTTTCACTGCAGTCAGTTTCTGGTTGCAAGGCCAAAACAGGAAACCAGGCCTGGGCAGTGTTTAAACTTTAGAATACCATAAATCCATTTTTGGCCAGATTATGTGGTCAGTCTCGTGACTCTGGAGCTTAACAGTGTCCGCTGTTCGTCCTGCAGGAGGTTCTCGGTGCAGAGATGCGCGCGCTGCCACCTGGGCATCTCGGCCTCGGAGATGGTGATGCGCGCGAGGGACTTGGTGTACCACTTGAACTGTTTCACGTGCACGACGTGCAGCAAGATGCTGACCACCGGCGACCACTTCGGCATGAAGGACAGCCTGGTGTACTGTCGCCTGCACTTCGAGACGCTCGTGCAGGGCGACTACGGCGCGCCGTTCGGTCACGCGGACGTGGCGCACGGCAAAGGCGCGGTGCCCGCGGGCCCGCTGGGACTGGCCTACTACAACGGAGTGGGCACTGTGCAGAAGGGCCGGCCGAGGAAGAGGAAGAGCCCAGGACCAGGGGCCGACCTGGCGGCCTACAACGCAGGTCAGAGCTTTTTTTTCTTTTTATTAAAGGTTTTAAACTGAAAAAGTCTCACTCCTCACTCTAACAGTACACATCCAGTTAAATATTATTTTCATATCGAACAAATTACAGCAGTTACTGAATAATACGAGTTAATGTTAATATTAAATAATAAGTCTGCAGTTTAGGGGTTTTAAAAGGAATGCAGAAAAGCGGTGGTATTTTCAAGCCTTTAATTTACAGCATGAATTTCAACCGCGTGTAGAGCAATCGAGAGAAAAGACCGTGTCCAAAAACAATATTCTTAATGTCAGTGGTGTTTCCTTTACTATAGTGTTTTTGTGTCAGTGGTGTTGTCTTTAAAGTCAGTAGCGTTGCCTTTGCTATATTGTTTTTTAGAGTGAGTGCTGTTGCCTTTACTTAATTGTTTTAAAAGTCAACGGTGTTGCATTTACTATAATATTTTCTTTAAGTCAACGGTGTTTCCTTCACTATACAGTCAGTGGTGTTTACAATACTATTTTCTTTAAGTCAGCATGTTTCCTTTAATATATTGTTTTTAAAGTCAACGGTGATGCCTTCACTATACAGTTTTTATCAATATATCATTTTTAAGGTCAACGGTGTTTCATTTATTATACAGTCAGTGGTGTTTACTAGACTGTTTTCTTTAAGTAAGCAGTGTTTCCTTTAATATATTGTTTTTAAAGTCAACGGTGATGCCTTCACTATACAGTTTTTATCAATATATTATTTTTAAGGTCAACGGTGTTTCATTTATTATACAGTCAGTGGTGTTTACTAGACTGTTTTCTTTAAGTAAGCAGTGTTTCCTTTAATATATTATTTTGAAAGTCAGCAGTGTTTATTGTTTTTATTAGTATATTGTTTTTAAAGTCAATGGTGTTACCTTTACTATACAGTCAGTGGTGTTTACTATACTTTTTCTTTAAGTAAACGGTGTTTCCTTTACTATATTATTTTTAAAGTCAGCAGTGTTTACTTACTATATTGTTTCTATTAATATATTGTTTTTAAAGTCAATGGTTCTACCTTTACGATACTGTTTTAAGGTCAGTGGCGTTGCCTTAATGTTTCTGGTGGCCAATGGTAAACGCTGAGTGAATATGTTGGCCACGTTTACCAAAATCACTCCTTATACAACTCGTTCGTTTGAGTGATAAATGTAACAGTCTAACGGAGTGACGAGCCTGAGACTGTAAGGTTTTTTGGTAAGAGAGAAGAGGAATATCAGGCTGAAAAAGAGGCTGGATGTTATTTCAGATGAACAGTTAATGTTGGGTTCAGGCCTTATTTCTGTTGGGCTTTATCACTTTAGAGGAAAATTCTGATATAAATTAACCGACTGGAATGAGCCCGACCAGCAAAAATAAATTAAATACGATTTTAGAAGATCTTGAAAAGCAACCTAAATGGTGTTAAAATTAAAGGCAAATTAAACGAATAGTTGTTGTGTTGGTTGGCCCAATGGTTTTAAGTAGGATCGAATAAAATGTGTTATTAATATTTATTAAACAAAATTTGGAAAAATTAAAAACGTCACAGTTGAAACGTCATAATTGCGACGACGTTCAAAACTGGTCAGATCGCTTTAAAACTGATACTTGCGTATTATTTCCTAAATGTGAAACACTGACTTTGGATTTTTAAGGATAAAAAAAGAAGGAAAAAAAACTGTTGGGCTTGCTTAAGGCTCGAGATTATTGCAGTCCTGTAATGTTTCACATGCAGACGCTTCAACGGGCCTAAATGATCACTATGACGGGAAAGTTTGGTGGAGTTGAGTGCGATTCGTCCACTCGGCCACCCCCGGACCCTCCGAGAGCCTTTAGAGGACCAAAGCAGAGCAATGATGACGAGTACACGGACTGACAAGTGGAAAATGGCTTAGATACAAGTCGAGACCTCTAGAAGATTAAAAAAGATGTGAAAGGGGTGAGAGAGAGAGAGAGAGAGAGAGAGAGAGAGAGAGAGAGAGAGAGAGAGAATAAGAGGGGGAAAGAGGGGGATTAAAGTTTTTCAGACATAAGCTAATTCATTTGTTCTTTTTTTCGCACAGACTATCCAATGCTTCAGTGTCTTGAGCGCTTGTTTAATCACGCGCCCAAAATCCTGAAATAACGCCATGAAATGTAATAATGCAGAGAGAGAGATCACGAATCTGTTACGAATTATAAGTTGCAAAAATCATAATTAAATAGTCTTATACTTTACATAACACGAAGCAATCGAAATAGTTCAAACAAAAAAGGAGAAAAAGAAGGAAAAAAGAGAAGAAGAAGAAGAAGAAGAAGAGGAGGAGGAATTTAATTGAAATCAAAATATTGTATACATAAATGCAAAACATGGGTCGTATATATCATAATGGGAAGTGGGGGAAAAACTACTCAGGCCAAATAAATAAATAAATAAATAAATAAATTTCCTTTGGCTAGTTTGAGCGATTGACAGACCACGCATTCTCTTTTCTTGACTGTTTAACGTGTTAGACATTTAGGCCCATTTCAGAGCCTTGTTTTCCGGCGCGGATCTTTTCGTCCTGGCTCTCTTAAAGCTGGAGAGCTTCCTGCTTCTCCACGTCTCTCTGCGCTGCGGCTGAACTTCCAGCACAACTTCCAAAACGAAGTTCGGGATCAGCCCGGAACTCCACAGTCAATACAATGAACGGTTAGATATCAAAGAAGCACTAAGCCCTGTTAAATCATCGCGCAGCGCCTCAGGCAGACATTTGACGGCAGGTACTGCTGGAGCGCTCACGCTTCGGCTCTCCGCTGCCCCCTTCAGGTCGCAGAGGGAACAGCAGCACCCAGGAGAAAAGAGCACAAAACGTGCAGCTTCGTTAAAAAACCTGCTGTTCTAACACGAGCAGGATCAGTATTAGACTGAGAAAAACTGATTAGTTTCATTTGACTGTATTAAAAGGACGCTTGTGTTTATCAATGGCCAGATTCATGTCGGTTAGAAAAAGAAGAAGAAGAAGAAGAGGAGAAAAAAAGAAAAGCATTTGCTCGCCATGTGCAGCGCTGAACGCATTAAAGGTTAATTATCTGAAGTGTTGATCAGACGATTTTCAATGAGTAATATTTGTAGTTGTCAGAGAAAACAGAATTCCCGAACTGTCATGAGTCTAGCAACACTTCCTCTTCTGCCAAGAAAGGGACTGGCGAGCCCACCATTCTGTGCATAGACATTATCTCTAAGAAAAAAAAAACACTTTACTACTAGCCAAGTGAAATCCGTATAATAAAAACATCTAAAATGTGAGCACTATTTATTGATTTTAAGGCACGTCATTTTTTGTGCTTGAATTCTTGTAGCGTCTAAAATTGAAACATATTAGATCTTATTCGTTACGCTGCTTATTTACGTACAATCAAAGCAGCAGAAAAAACGTTGGTGAATAAACATTGTTGTTTTTGGATAGACAGTCTAGGAAATGGGATTTTATTCTTATTGTTTCACGTTTACGCAGAAACAAGCAAACTGTGATTAAAATCCAGATATTGGAGCATCTCGAGCGATTTTAAAATATCAAAAAATGCAATTATTTAAACCGAAGGGCCAGAAGAAAAGTGAAAGAGGGGGAAATTAAAAAAAAAAAATAGAGGAAAAGATCTCAAAACGGCGCCTCTTTATTCGAGCCATGCTGCTATAGAAGCTGAGAAAGTATTGAATGCACTGTCAACACAATTGATTGTGCTCCTGTAGAGATTTATGGTGAGCTCAGAGAGGGAGCCGGCTGGGAAATGGCCCAGGACCATATTGTGATAGTTCAGTGTATCTCATTTAAATGGCTACACTAAGACTGCTCTGTGAGTCTAATATATTTGTTGTTAGGATATTGCATTTGTTCACATCCCCACGTATGGGGTTCTGAGACCCACATTTCAATAGCACTGACACTGTTTCAGTACACCAAAGCTTTGCCTTCATTCAGTATAATGAGTTAGGCGTCTGTGGCATGATATTAACATGTGTTTCCCTCTGAACAGCACTGAGCTGTAATGAGAATGATGGGGATCCCATGGACAGAGACTCTCAGTACAGTTCTGGCCAGAAGACCAAGCGCATGAGGACCTCCTTCAAGCACCACCAGCTCAGAACCATGAAGTCCTATTTCGCCATCAACCACAACCCTGATGCCAAGGACTTGAAACAGCTGGCCCAGAAAACAGGTCTTACCAAGCGTGTACTTCAGGTAAGAGGTGGTCTGTCTTTAGCCCTGTTATTGCAAGACAGATTAAGCAGTCTTGTGCAAAAGTTTTGGCACCCCTGGTCAAATGACGTGTTTTATTGATATTGTTGAAAATCCTCTCCAGAGTCGGTACATTTCAATTCACAGTTACTGTTTATTTGCTGAACTGAACATTGTATGAAAAAAAAAAAACATAAAATGTGGTCTGTGCAAAAGTTTTGGCACACTTTATGTTCTATGTGGCATTTTTTCCAGTGTGTTAAACTCAGAATATGCATAGAAATTGGGCACTAAAATTAAGGATGGAGGATGTGTGAACTCACTTTCACTTAGAAAATCAAACTTTTTTTGACCAGAGGTTTTCAAACTTTGGTATACGACTGTACAATCTATAGACTTCATATCTTTTGTTAGCAGACAAAGAGTTAATTTCCATTAAAAAAAAACATTTTAATGAACACTTGCAGTGTGATCATGAGAACTCAGTCTTGCAACTAAATGATCGCAGATCCATTCACTGCACCAAAAGCCAACCAAATACCAATTTGTTTATTAGAAACATACGCATTGTAACATGGCTCAATCTATGGTCCCCTGTCTATTCTGTGAATGGTATTCATTTGCAAAAATTATGGAATGAGAACATAGTTTAATTGAAGAGTAAATGAAAGAAACCATTCCGTTCCAAACTAGATCTGAAAAACACCAGGCTCATATCAAGACCCAGCTGTTTTGTCAGCTATCATTGAAAGTAGGGGAGGCGAAATAGGCTGCAATTCTCTTACAAATGTGACAGATAATCATCTGGGGAGCTAAAGAAAGGGAGAAATGAAATAAACAAAAAAAAAAGAAGATTGTCGAGCAGAGTCTAAAATCTCAAAGCCCTAATTATCATCGCCAGAAAACAAAGCAGTCATTTGCTTTGATGAGCCCGCTTTTCCGTCCTTATTTGTCATTCTGTTTTCAAAATGCCTCTCTCTCTTTCCATCCCCCTCGCGGGCTTGTCATTAACGACTGAAACGTTGCTCTCGTTGTCTCGGAACGCAGGTCTGGTTCCAGAATGCCAGGGCCAAGTTCCGGCGGAACCTCTTGCGACAGGAGAACACAGGTGTAGACAAGGCCTCGGACGGGTCCACCTTGCCTGGAGGGACCCCTTCCGGGCCGGCATCAGAGATTTCCAACGCCTCCATGAGCCCGTCGAGCACTCCCACCACACTGACAGACCTTACCAACCCCACCATGCCCACCGTCACCTCCGTACTGACCTCTGTGCCTGGCAGCCTGGACGTCCACGAGTGCCGGAGCCCTTCGCAGACCACCCTCACCAGCCTCTTCTGATGCTCGTTCGACCAGGCCCTTGGTGACCGTCACAGTTAGCGCCCTAAAACCGCAGAGCACGTGGACGTTACAGACTGCCCATCTTTTTCGGTCACTGAAGAGCCCAGTTTATTTGCTGTTCTAAGTTGTGGGAGAACCGCCACCTTGTGTTGAGATCATACCCATAAGTGGGTACAGGCATCATCCTAGCACTGATACCAATGCTTGTAAAAACAGTCATATCAGGCAGCTGTAATGTACAGCTGGTCCACTTGCACAAAAAAAAACCTCAACAAACTGCGACATGCAACAGTCACAGACCTCCCCAGTCCTAGATGGGCATCTTTTCAATAGGTAACGAAGCCCAAAACTTGTGGTCAGTCCAACCATAAACCAGAGACGATAAAAAGAACTTCTGAAGGACAGAAAATAGGGGGACAAGACAAAAAAAGAAAGAAAGAAAAAAAAAGAGAACTGTGCTAAAAAGAAAAAGCTTTTGTTTGACCATGAGCCTCTTTTAGAGTATTGCGTACAGGCGGGCATGCCTCACTGAAGGATCTGTTGATGTTTTTATTTTTTTTGTTGTTGTTGTTGTTTTTTTGTCTTTGAAGGAAGAATTGAGGAGACTTGATTTGCATTTTTATTTTCAGTCCCCCCCCACCCCCCAAACTATGTTTACAGCGCGAGACTGAGGAGAGAAGCGCTCTCAGCTTATGGGAATTCATCCTCACTTCAACCTATTATTTATGTAACTGCACCAGGGGTCAATGTGAGGAAACTGGATTATAATGTGAATAATTGTGAGATGAAAAGCGAAAACACAGCGCAACTTAGCCTGACTGTCACGTGCCTTATCCTGTGATTTAGTCACCGACAACCGATCCCCACCTTTTTTTTGTTGTCATTGCTGATGAACTGCTTTTCGAATATGTGTACTTTAGCCCGCTGAAGAAAAAGAAAAACAATGGTTTAGTAGCCGTGCACACATTTAAACACAGATACATGCTCTCTCTCTCTCTCTCTCTCTCTCTCTCTCTCTCTCTCTCTCTTTCTCAGACAATAAAAAAACATGCATCAGACTCACATAATCTTACTTCAACCTCTTACCTCACTCAACATCCACTGGATATAATAGCAGTACAGGTGAAACCTGATTAACGGATACTTCAACACAAAGATAATAAATGCACTGAAGACGACACACAGTCAGGTGGCTGTTTGTACCAGTTGGAGAAAGACAGTGTAAACACGGCAAACAAATTCAGATCACCGATAACAGATAACACACTGCTCCATTGTTCACGTTCAGTCTTGATGATGATTTTCCTTTTGCGACCATTGCGATGTGACAGTGTTGGGAACAGGGTACATGTTTCCATGGTTACGGGAGGCTGCTTGTTGAGAAATGCTGTACAGTTTGAGACGTTTCATGCGCACTCCTCACAGTATCCCCTTTGATGTAAATCTTCAGTTCTGTAAAATTATAAAAATGAATCATATCATCTCGTGGTCCTCATTATTGCCAACAGCTTTGAAACCACAGTACTGTCATGCACCAAGAAAGAAAAGGTTCCTGAGCCCTGCAGAGAGCACATTGAACGTTATTGCTTTAATAACATAATGCTGGTTATGTCGCTATATATTCTGGGGTTTTTGCATTGGGAGGGAATGCAACCTATTCAAAATTTCATTTCAGTGTAGAAATTTAAATATTCTTTTAACATGGCGTTTAAATTCTTTTATATGTTATTCTATTTATTTTTGCTGGTAAAGATCTTTGTGGATTGCCTATAATATAAAAAAAAATAAAACAATGTTATTATTTAATAAAAAACAGCAGTTTTGAGAACTAATCTGACAGTACTGTGCAAAAGGCACCTAAGCAAATTGTTTAAAATTGTTTATCTCAGCAGTACATGTAGTTCCGCTCAGAAAGACACTATATAATATTGTGCAAATACGCATAAATACAGAAATGTAATCATCTTTTGAACTGTTTAGAAGAACAGCAGTTTCCAAATTTTTTTTCTTTTCATATGGATTGTTCAAATCCGCCATCAGCACTCTTGATTAGCCAAACCGGGTATATATATATATAATACTGGGTTGCCATGAGCAGAGGTTTGGAGACACTGACATGCATAAAATTACTTGGAATTTATATTTATTGTTATATTAGTGTTTTTCAGAGCAAATAAACGCTCATTGATAACTACCTTTTTAAATATGATTTTCTCAGGTGCCTGAATTCTTTGCACAGTAGTGCCCAATCATATTAGATACAGAATTCATTAATTTAGTCAGCTAAATTCAGTAACCACCTCCACTGCTTTGTCAGTGAGGTATCATTAGTAGCTATTTATTTATTATTTTGTAGTGGTTTAAATGCTTACCTGAGCTTTAAGAGAACATTAAATAAGAAGACGTTTTCCTCATGTCATATAATCCTGGCTAATTATAGAACTGGCAGGAGCTCAGACAGCCACATATTACTACACGGTAATGATGGTGAACACATGGCCGGGTAAATACATGCTGTATATTTTGAGCCAGTATTTACATGCCATGATGTATGCAGCTAGGTGATAAAAATCACTGTATAAAATGACATGACAAACACCCGAAGTAAACAAGCAGGCTATTTATTATATTCATTAATGCAGTGGACAGGGCCAATATTATAAAAACGTTTATCTATTTATTCATGTATTTATTTAAGTAGCCTATGCTCTGACTCATTTACTTTTTTTTATGTATGCATTTCTTGTTGTAAGCATAACATTTTTCTGGAACAAATCCTTGTATCTCCAAAATAGTAACTTTTCAGGAGAAAGGAAAAAAAAAATTAATTTGTGTTGATATAATAATTAATCCTAGGTTTTTCTTTTGGGACATCATCAAGAAACTTTCACATAATGGACAGGGCAGCCGGCAGTTTCCAATGATGTAAAAATAAACAACCACAATAATTTAATTTAAAAATGGAGGTTTCATCCTAACCGTGACGATAAGCATATACAGCTTCAATGAAGATACAAAGCATTTGAGTCAAATATGCCAAGTGCCCACTTTAAATGGATATATATAGAACCATAACAACTCAGAGAACCATTTGAATGCTTAAATGGTTCTTTGCATGGAGAAGCTATTGATGGTTCTTCAAATAACCTTGTAAAAAATGGTTCTATATTGCAGTAAAAAAGGTTTCACTATTCTCAAATGAGTTTTTTTGGTACTATATAGAACACTTTTTGCCAAATAAGGTTATGAAGGTTCCTGGATGGCGCTTGGCTAGTATATACAGTTCTATAGCAAAAAATCTCTATTGGTAGAGAACCTTTACAGTATGTCGAGGTTCTTTTAATTAAAAAAAAAAACACATTTTTGGGGAATCAAACGTAGTTCCACTGTGGTTTTGCTCCAGAGAGCCCTTTTTGGTAACTATAGTTGTATATGAAAGTTTGGGCACCCCTGGTCAAATTGGTTTGTTGTTTTTTTAAGTGCATATTCACAAAAAAAAAAACATATTTCAAAAATAATAATAAGAATAGTAAATAAATAAAATGTGGCCTATGCAAAAGTAATTGCATATTTTGTATTTTGTTTTTTTTCCCCAACATGTGAAACTCAACAGATAATTAGAAATGGTTCACTAAAATGTGCTGCATATTGCCATATTTGAATTTGTTGTGTTAACTTATTTTCACTTTGAAAATCAGCAAAACATGTCTTTTGGCTGGGGCTGTTCAAAATTTTGCGTATGAATGTATATTTTTAGGAGTATATTGTGCACGCAGTGGATGTGCATGCATACCTGCAGCGTGTATGCAGTCCGGGTTTTAAGACAGTGGGGATTTTGGGGCTACAGTGAGATCACAAAACACATTTGATCGCTACTAGGTAAATCGTTGACTTTGCCCTTAACATTTTCACATTTTAATATTTGATAAACTCACGTTTATAAATAGCGCTTGCTTATGGCTACCTCTTGTGTTCAAGCTGCAAGATAATGGCAAGCAATATGCAAGGCAGTGTGCTGCTTGTTGAACAGGCCGTGGATACTTAGCCTGGCATTACCGAGTCCTGAAAGGAGCAGTATTTTACGTGAAGGGGCTGATTGCAGTACTTGGCAGTTTGCCCAATGCAGTGTAATCAGAGTGAAGCGCTGTGTTTTACCTTCCCCCTCCACTTCCCCCATGGCCACCCTGAGTCCAGCTGAATTTAATCAGAGTGGTATGAGGCAATTAAGCACATAACAACATGAAAATAGCTTGACAGCACTGCCTTTTTCACTCTGCATGGTCAACCATCAGAGAATAGCCAAAATCAATATCAAATATACAGAGGTAGATGGTGATCAGTTGCTTGAGAATTTAATTGTGCTGCCTAAAAGGGTATTACATGTTGTGACAGGCACATTTGGTAAATAGAAGGATTTTTTTTTATTTGGAACTGCACAGACAGCGTTGTTAACTGGCTGAGGCTAGCCTGTAAAAGTCTTTTGTCCTGCCACCTCAGGATGTTCACCAAAAAAAAAAAAAAATCAACTTAAACCTTCTTTAAAATTTAAAAGTGAAGTTTGAACATGCCACGTCAACTTACATGTTTTCTAAGTGAAAATAAAGGGGGTGCAAATGCAAGTATGTCTTTTTTCAAATTTTAGTGCACAATTGTATTTTTTATTGATTTTAACATAATGGAAATATATACAAGATAAATATAAAGTGTGCCATAACTTTTGCACAGGCCACATTTTATGTTGTTTAACCCCATATGCTAAATTCAGTAAATAAACATTTATTGTGCATTGAAATAACCAGGTTTCAGTTAGTTGCTTAGAAGTGGAACACAGCTGCAGCTCTATGCTGGGGCTCTTTGCTGTAAAAGAGTAACTGTAAAAATGTTACATGCAAGGTAACATACAGTCATATGCAAAGGCTTCAACATCCCCAGTCAAGTCACATGTTTTGTTGATTTTCTAAGTAAAAATAAGTTCAGACATTTTCTAAAGGGAACAAGCTTAAATATGGAATTTTGCTGCAAATTATAGTGCAAACATTCTGTTTATTCACTGAGTTTAACATGTTTGAAGAAAAATAAACATAAAATATAAAGTGTGCCATAAGCTTTGCACAGGCCACATTTTATGTTTTTTTCCCCTATATGTTAAATTTAGCAAATAAACATTAATTGTGCATTAAAATGTGCAGAAATATACTCTCAGCAGTGGATGTGTATTTATTTTCACTTTGAAAATCAACACATTTGACCAGGGGTGCCCAAACTTTTGCATACGACTGTATATTTTTGCATGTCGATGAATGCTTTGATACTTGCGCTGTATATTTATAGGTGTGTGGTATGAATGAGCTTTTCTCTATGCTATCTCTACTTGACTCACGACACACAATGTATAAAAATATTATTAAACCTTCCTCCCAGCATCAAATGACACATAATTGCGCATCAAACAAACACTCGGGATAAGAGTTCATTCTGCTCAGCTACAGACGAACCCCATGCTTGTAGAACTCAGCTATTCATGAACTCAACGCAAGGGCTCTTATGATGTGCTGTGTTAATGAAGCTAGATGTTTTCTAACCTGTTTTCCAGGAGCTGCATCTGAGGCCTGTAGACAAAAGCAAGGTGGGAGGCTGATGGGGTACAACACAGGCAAGACAATGCAAGCATGTAGACTTAAAGCCAGTCGACAATAAGCTTTGTTAAAAAAACTAAAGGGGGGGTTGTTGGTTATACAAACAACCCCCCCAACATGCATTTGTAAAGAACGTTAGGTCAGCAGGTGAAGATGCGTAATCTTTTGAAAGAGAGAATAAAGGGCGAGCAGCCATCAGTCATTCAGTCAGGAAGCTCCGCCCCCTCCCATTCTCAGCTCCACAAGCCTGCCTTCTGTAATAAACTACATTTCCCAGCGCGAGTTGAGTGTAGGCCCTTATTCAGGTCATTGGCCTCTCTACTTCCTCTGGCTGCTGCTGTAAGAGTGGGACACTGGAGTGGTCTGGCCCCAAGCCCACCACTCAGGCTCCTGGGGGCTGGCAGACTGGGCTAGTAATGGGCCTGCGATGGATGCCAAAGCCAGCCAGCCACTGTAGAAACCAATGTGCTGCCCAGATGTACCCGTGCAATCCCACATAAAGTCATGTGATGAAGGCTTTAATAGAGAGAGAGTCTGGTTTTTAAAAACACACACGACAGCCTATATGGAAATAGTGGGTCCAATAAACTTTAACACGGAATATTATTACCTCATTTTGGACCAAGCAAAGTCCGAAACCCATCTGAATGTTTAGCGCGTTTGCATTCACAAGCTGACATCTACTGCCTATTTGGAGCGACTTCAAGCCTCTGGAATGCGTCCGAGGTTTTTTATTTTTTCTTAATAGCCCTCAAAAATGATTACACTGCGGCACACACTGCAGTGTATGAAGCTTTTGCAGGACTGTTT